CAGAAAAAGATTTTTTTTTCATGTGACAGAATGTAAAGATGAAGTTCAATGCAAGGGGAACTTTGAGAAAATAAAAAAAAATACCAATCATCCTAACAAATGCATTGAGCAAAAAATAAATGTCTAAAAAAATTGATCTAGTGACACTATTAGCACCTGCAACCACTTTCAGGGGAGCTTCTACGTAGAGTCAGCAGGAGCATTGACACTGAGGGGGAACGGTGCAACAACAGAGTCAAGAGTTCATCAGCACTAATCAGACTACAAACCCTTAGAGCTTATCTTATACTCTACCGCAGCTCTCACCCATTCCAGAGTCTCATTACATGGCATGTTGTAATAGCGCATAATGACCTGGGGGTACTGACACAATGCAGATCACACCCCTACACTCAACCTACTGCACAGTCATTATACTGGTATAATACACAGCCTTGCTGGGGGGATAACACTTACAAATACAGAAGACGGGTCTAAGTGGTGACTTGGAACCAAACAGAGTTCAAATATATAAATCCTGTGCCTAAGCACAATTAGTCCAGCCGCACACCCTGCTGCGCTTCTTTTTGTCACAAGCGACAGTTGGGTTACCTGCCGTTATAATGGAGGAACTCTTTTCTCTGCAGCCCTTAAATATCCCCTTTATCTGAGATTAAAAAGGAAGCAGTTGCAGTTTGCCTGGCGGTTCGACTCCCCTTTGCTGAGTTAATTAGCCATGACTTCATCTAAGGGCTTCAGGTGTTGATTATTCTGCAAGAGCACGTACTATATTCACGATAGCTAGCCTAAAAAAAGTGTTGTGATCTTGAATTAAGCATCTTTCTTTGTTTTGTTTTTTTAAAAGATTGGCATATATCTAAATTTATTGTTCTATCATTTTTATTTCTTGAATGGCAGTGCCTGCAGTTTGTAGAAAAGTGATCATGCTACAAATAAATACTATTAGACTATATGTATAGATTATGTGGGAAAAATGTCCTTTGTCAAATGTCTTCAGGCTACAACTGTTCACTTTGGTATTTTCTCAACAACTGTCTTGAAATATTGCCAGATCACTTTCACCTGTGACAACCTTACTTTAGCAAAACAATCCCATTTCTCTATATTTAGAGGATGAGAATTTAACTTTTGTAAAACAATGAACAAATTTATTCTTTAAAAGTCTAAAGGCCTTTTTTTCTTGCATTCATTTGATAAACCGCAGACCCCAAGTTGTACATTTAGCTGCCCCATAAAACTAAAATCAGAAAGACAGGTTCTTTAACAAGGGTACACAACACTGGTGATATGTGAAATCACGATCAATCATTTCCACAATTGAGATTTTAAAAAAGGAAAATCCTACCCAGCTACACCGAAATAAAGACAAATCAGATTAGAGAAGAAATGTGAAGCATTAAAAAGTGCAACAGTCAGCATTAGGTAAAACCGTGTTCAATCATTTTCTACAGTAAGTCTCTTTGAATACAAACTCGACCATTAAAAAAGATTTAAAAAGATTTGTTTTTGTTTTGTTTTTTTTGTTAGCTGAACTGGGCTGTATTTTTACTTAAATTTTATAGTCTCAGTTTTTACATTTGAATTTTTTTCAATTTAACCACTGTGCGTCTACTTTTAAGAGGCATGGCAGCTAATCAGGCACAGGTTTGTTTGATCAACATTGGGCAGATACATTTCAGTCTTATTAAATTTAAAAATCAAAATGTATTTTTTTCAAGCAGTTTATAGAAACTCCTAAAAAAAACATATCATGTATTGATTAATACAGGAATTGTATTTGCTCTGACTCAATCAAAGAAGAGAAAAAAAAAAAAAAGTACAATTAAAATGGTTTCTTCCATCCACATATCCAGCATACTCCGTAAAAGCCACAACAGCAAGCTCAAACTGGGATACCCTTCCTTGTCTTTGGAACAATCATGAAGATTCGACGCACGAGGATTACTGTTGACTTACACAGTATTGATTCATACTTTAGTGCATTATATAAAACTGTTCTAACTGCACGTGAATCAAAGCAAGGTCACCTTGGGTTTTTATAATGCTAGCTATTTTTCTTTTTTACCATAATACTTAATTTAGACATTTTTAACTCTTGACAAGTGCTGTCTGGAGGCTTATCCATAAATAATGCATTTACAATACCTAGTAAATAAACATGGGGCACAATCGTTAGCCCTGCTGGCAACTGGGCCTAATAGAGCTTTTACAGCAAAGGTGACTATTCAGCTAAATGCAGCGCTCACTGCTGGGAGGACATTTTCATTCATTAGCACAGTCACAAGCACTAAAAGCACTTTAAGGGATCCAAGATGGAGAGTAAAGGTAGAAGGTTGGAGAGGGTGAAAGGGTATAAATATATAAAGATGGAGGGATGGAGGAATTAGACCAATAATAATGAGAAATGTCTCTATTGTTTTAAGGTTTATTAGGTATTGTGGTGGATGAGGAAATATACCACAATATGTTGTTAAAGGAAGCAATAATGGTAATGGAAGACAAGAAAATATCACGGCCCATTAATGTACGGCGCTCCATGTCTGCTTGTTCTTGCCAAAAGGTCAATTTGGTTTCTAATAGCATTAGAGTTTAATTTATATCATCTTAAACATTATTTTCCTAGGAAAATGCTATGATTAGTGATTTGTAACAAATGACAACATTGTAAAGATCTTGGGAAAAGATTGGAATAGTGCAGAATCTTCCTAGAATGTTTAAAATGAGTTCAATCTAATTAAATCAATCAGTTTTTACATTACTTTGGTTGGGTTCTACAATTCCTGTTAGGACTCATTATAAGAAAAAAAAAAAAGTTGTTTTTATTAAACCATCCAAACCAAAAAAAAAACTTAAAAATGAACAGTAGATGGTGAAAAGCCTCTGAAAAAAATGGCTTACATTTGGAAAAAATGGTTTACATTTAGATGTTCTTGTTACTTATGACACATTAGACATATTATTAAGAAAACAAATGGCTTCTTCAGTATCTCTCCATGTCATCTAATTAGTTAATCCAAGCCTTTTCACTTCCAGTAGTGTCCTCCTCCATAAACAAAGACAGAAGATTATGATTTCTCCAAGGTTGCTGTTAACTTCTTTTGGAGCCAGTTTGTTAGAGTCTGCCTCCCACCGTTTTACAGTAATCACTGATCATCACCACAGAAGCTTCCTTGAGGGCTCTTAAGAACAGAGCAACTCTCACTTCTCTCTGTGCAGGGACAGCATGCTGAACTTCATATGGCTCTTGTCATCTGCTGGGTTCCCTGCACGAAAAATTATCTCCTCCAACAAGGGAGTGTATTTTTTGCACCCATGATACAAGGCACATGAGGCAGACCTCTGCGCTATTATTAACAGATTCATCCAGCTGTATGGAAGACCAAAGCACCCTCTCCTTCCAGCTAACATACGGCCCTGGATTACAGACTGCACTTGACCATTTAAATTACTACAACAACCAGCCCTCAGCAGATGGGGCTCATTTCCATAATGTCCACTGTCATCACCCAAAGCACTGGTAAAGTTGTTGCAAAAGAATCATTCAACAAATAACAAAACAGACAACCCTTAACTTAAAAATTGGCAGCACATTTCAGATGCAGAAATCTAGCAATGTAAACGTTACATTTCCTGTGAAGCATTATAATTTGATCCAATTCAAATCTGAGCTTCTGCTCAATATGTACAGAATTCTCCACCTTTATTGGCTACTATAGGAAACCTGTTTAGAAAGGGTTGAAATTTGTCAACCCTGACTTTCTGTAGCATAATTAGGTAATTAAATCTACTGCAGCTTATAATTGACATATTATTGATATAATTACTAGTAATTAGGATTTTTTTTTCTTACAGATCTGTTTGTAGGAGATGAGTTAAAAAAGTAAGTACGTTTGCTGAACGTAAGTTAAAGTAAATTGAGTAAAAAGTTTCCAAACTCTCTGATCACATTTCAATGGTATAATGAAACTATGAGTAAAATAAAAAAGCTGATTTTAGAAACTGTTTTAGATGCTGTTTTGCACATCAACAAAACAGTTTTTATTGCTTTCCTTGCTGAAGCAGTGTATGGTCATTTGAATCGATTTTGTGAAACAGTATTTCAAATTTCTGCGAATAAGTTGCACTCATTGTTTCCCTGTAGAGCCTAGACTTACTGCGTTGTCCGACGATATCTAAACAACAACACAAACGACCATTCATCGGAGGGTGTGGCGGCATAATTATCTGGTGGGAGGCCTGCAATGCTCTTTTACAAAGATCGCCACATGCACACTTGCAAAAAGAAGTGGCAAATTATTTTTAGGCTAACAGAGGTCTAATTTATTCGTCTGATGAAGTGCTTAAGCTAAGAGCTCCCCAGGCACTAAATGAGACACATGCGTTCCCAAGGGGCTTTAACATTTGATTGGATGTAGTTATATTGCTACAGCCCTAATTAAGAAGGGGGATGTGTTTCAGAAGCTCTTTCAAATATTTGTTTTTCTGCCACACTCTTGATAGTCTCCAGGCTGTAGGAGGGAGACCAAGCTGTGTTAGACCTAAAAATCTTATCACAGGAGAACATTTCTGGTTCTAAGTGTCACAGCTTGCTTCAAATGGAAATGATTAACTAATTAGTCACATTAAACAGGTACAATCATTGAAAAGGTCCTGGGCTATCTAAGGGAAGGTATCTTTGATGTTTGTCTGTGAAGTGTTCTGTTAAGCAAAATTAAATAAAGTTGCTGGCATCAGGTCAGGACTCGGATTTTTACAAAGAGTTTTTCTTGGCGTGAAAATTGACTGCAATTATGCCGAGGTGATCGGCCACACAGTCTCTGTCACACTGGAAGAGATTCAGAACAAACTGGAAACACTGTGACATCACTGATCCCGGCATGTGTGAGTGGAGAGGAAAAATAAAACGGAGACACAGAGTTGGGGAATATCTGGGATTAGATGATAGGAAAAAAGCATTCCTGCACTCTCACTTCAAAACACACTTACAAAGGAGGACATACCATCTTGCTCTGTCTTTGTCATCTCCTCCAACTTCTTTTGCTTGAGTGAGTCCACAACATCTGCCAGGCTTCCTTTGCGGCGCTCCGGAGTACCAAATGCTGATCCGCTCAGCAGGTCACTTCGCTCCCGGGCCCCCTCCTCAGGTTTGTGTGGAGAAGTGGAATTGTTCCGGAAGGAGTACAGGGAGCACACTTTATTGCTGTCAGGTTCCTGTAAGACCAAAAAAAATTATGGTCAAGATATGAGGCAACATGGGAAGTGTGTTTAATGATAAGCTTGTTGCTATTCTACTGTTATGCATTACTTTCATTCAAATGCCATGACTGCAGGAGGTATTTGAGTCCGAGGTAATTTGGCCACATCAAATAGCTTAATCCTGGCTATTACACAGTTGTCTGTATTTCAACAGTACCAATTATTCTGGTAAATGAGATATGACAAGTGAAAAAGTGAGATGAAATGACGAGGTACCCTTTCGCAGGGCATATCCATAAACTGTTTACGCTTTGCTATTCATCTGCACAGACTATACAGTGAAACCCTCTAACTATAATCTCCTAAATTGCTGTTGAGAGTGCATTTGTGTAAGGGTGACTGCTGTGTAATTTACTCCTTTTCTGGAAAATGCCTGTTCTTAGTTGAGTGCCTGAAGCATTAGTAAATCTGCGACCTGTCTCAAGCTGTTGTTGTTTTTCTGTCCCACCTGTGTATGGTTTAGTATTTAACCAAGCGTCCCGTCTTTGGCTTATAAGCTTACTTCCTGTGCACAGACATAAAGAAAATAGGGAAAAGAATGCGGGAGGAGAATACTCCTGGAGTGCATGGTCAGGATACAGACCATGGTTGAGGCCTGCGTCTGACAGAGGGTGGTGTTAATTATGGCTTCTGGAGTCTGAGAAAGCAGAAGGTAGCTGCAGCCAGAAGTTGGAGCCTTTAACAGGGGAACAGTTATCTTTGATTTAAACTTTGGCCCATGTGCTGAGGAGAATAAACACAGTAGACATCTGTATCAAACACATGCTGCACATTTATCATAGAGAAGTGTGATAACATGGGATATTATAGCTGTTACTGAAGGATAGACCATAGAAAACCAGAAAATCCTAAATAAATATTGTTAGGAACACAGAAAAAAGTGACCATGATGTGCCAAAATTGCATCCCTATGTGGTATGTCGAGCTCCAGTAAAGATGAAAAGGAGCGCGGGTGGTTTGGTACCAAGCGGCAGAGGAGCATGGCCGGGGCACAGCACCTCCCAGTGCTGAGCTGGATGGCTTTACAGCTTAGCCTGGACAGTGGAGAGCGCTTGAGGGGAGTGGAGAAGTGCTGGGTTAATCAGCTGGCACAGGTTCAGGGCACAGCCCACACAGACGCATGGCACTGCAATGGAGCCAGGTAATCAGCAAAGGCAATCCTCTGATTCATTCCACCTAAAGATTTCCTCTCTTTTTTGCTCATTGTCTTGTTGCAGCTTTCCGTCTTTTGCTTCATCTGTTTTTCTCATTTTCTTCTGCTGTTTTTCTCCTACTTATCTTTTATTCCCCTATTTTCTATTTTAATTAAAAGTGCCAGAATAACGGGAGGGAAAATTTGAAGGAGGGTTTCATAAGAGGAAACTGTTATATCAGTTGTTACCTTAAACAACCTTTAGTGCTGATAATCATATTCAGTCCCTTGGTATAATACAGTATACTGTGAAAGTTCTAAAAAAACAAAAACATGTCTAAAACTGTAACTGTAACCATCTTAACAATTTATTGTAGATATGTCGAAACTGATTTTGATTATTTTTTCATTCTTTTTTTCCTTTTTTTTTCCTTAATGTAGAAAACACTACTGCCTCCTTACCCCTGTGTTTCTGTGATGAGGCTGCTCAATGATGGCTGCAGCAGATGCTAAGTCAGGTTCTGCTGAAGGGTTTCACAGTTAAAAACTAGCTTGGCCGATGTCACCATGCAGTTAGCTGGGTTTTGATGAACGAGGTTTTACCCTTGGAAATTATGTCATAGCTGACCCTTACTTTCTCTATTGTAATTAGGTTGAAAGAAAACAGCTTCATTGAATACAAATGTGACTATATGCTTGGGTTGTTTGAAGAGAATATGTACTTTAACTGATCATATGGGACGGTAGATAAATTGGTAGATAAATTGGATCTGTTTGTAAAGTACTTTTCATCAGGCATTGCCCAGGCATAACTGTACAATAATTTGCCATAGTATTTTGGATTTCATCAGGTAAAACTAAATTATATTATGTTTTTGACAGTTTTTAGTTGACTAACAACAGCGATAGGAAATATGCTTGAGCTAATTGTCAACTTTGATACAACTTTGATATATATGTCTATCAATCTATCTATCTATCTATATAAATATAAATATAAATATATATATATATATATATATGTATATAGTATATGTATTCAGGTATGTCTTGTGCTGCACTGCTGAGGAGAGCCTCAGTAGTCGAATTTGAAGTTACTTCAGAGGCCCTCTGGGTCTCTTTACCAGAGACACGTCTGTCATAGACAACCACCTGCCTCCTCTGTCTATAGCCCACAATAGCCTGTGCTCTTACTCGTTCTGCTCTCATCAAAACTGTTCTACTCTTAGGATGTACAAGGTCCCTAGGGTGTTGCTTCTTTTCTTGTTTTGGTTCCTTTTACAAGCAGAAAACCAGCATGCATGCAACGAGGCATTTCTTTAACAGCAAAAAAAAAACAAAAAACCAAAGATAGGCATGCAGGAGGGCGTAAAGCAACCCTCCCACCTTATTTGACCCCACTTTGAGCCCCATAATTTAGAGAAGAGTTAAGAATCATCTGCTTCACTCAGTGGAGTGTTTTTTTTATTATATATATATATATTACATTTCTTGAGACACCACAGTTGTCAAAGGCAGGAGGCATGCAGGATAAAGTTATTTTGTGCAAGCTAGGAACAATGAGAGCCTAATTAATTAGAGCTTTTATATTTTAGGGAGGTTAGCAACTGAGTAGCTTGCACTAATGGGCCTTTACTGCTTATCAAGGCTTTCTTTTTGTGGTTACAAAAATCTAATTGCTTCTACAAAGGCATCATAAAAAAGTAGAATGAGTACCAATGTGTTCTGAAACAGAAAACTTATTTTTGGCTTCTCAGAATTCCCTGGATCTTTTGAAACACTTGGTTGTAACATTTTCTCTTGTTAGCTCTATGGGGAACAGCTCTGGGATCTTTGTCAATGGCCTTTATTGCTGATGTTTACTGATATTCATTTTTAATATTCAACTATCAAAAAATCCACTATCAAAGCGAAACATGCTGCCAACGGTTGACTGTTTCTTACTATTTAACTCAAACAAATATTTCTCTAGAGGACTGCAATAGATGAGTATGTGTAATGTGTAGTGTGCCAGTCTTACCATGCGCTGCTGTGCTGACACCAGGCTGTCCCAGTCATTCTCTGGAGGTACGCTGCTGAGCGGCTGCATTTCATCAGGGGCTTTGCCGTGGAGCAAACTGTGCAGGGGCAGCTGAGGTGTACCGTGGGCATCTGCGCTTTCTTCTTTCTCCCAAGGCAAGTGCTCCTGGCTCATTGCATCACTGCCGTCAACCACAGAGGCGAAAGGGGATGTGGCTTGCTTAGAAGACATGACTCTGCTGCGAGGAAACAAACAGAGAAGGCAAAGAAAAAAAAAACATCAAATTATGCCAGCAATTTGTTTTCTAAACATTGTCAGGTCTTACACCTATTTCTACTTTTTTTTTTTTTTTTTGCAGGTCATTAAGTCCCCAAGCTTTAGTTCAGGGACCCAATACCTTTGGATTTTACAGTTAGACATTTTTCCAGCTGTCCCTTAGGATTCATAAATAAGGTTTTTGTCCTTTATGTCCTTGAACTTAGCTCTATGACAGCACTAGAGGATTGACTTCATCTACAGCCACTGTGCACTGTTGCTATGCTCATTCAGCAAAAGTAAACTGACTTTGATTGTATTAACACTGTAAAGTGCCTTGAAATGACATGTGTTTCAAGTTGTCACTATATAAATAAAATGAAATCAATTTAGCAATGCAGGTTGCTATTTGTAGGTTGGTAGGCTACAAATGCATTGCCCATGAAACTGTGATGCGAACTGGGATTAAACCCACCACTTTCTATTGGAAGAAATCTACCTGCTGAGTCAGAGTCTGGCAGGTACTGTAGTTTGAAAACAGAAGCTGGGTTCCTGTGTAGGCCTATCATGAGCCACTCCCTCAGGTTCTAAAAAAGTTTGATTAAAAACAGCATAAAACTGAGCAACAGGTCTGGCCAAAACCCTAAAACAGATCAGCCAAAGAGTGGGACTAAATTCTCATATAAAGCATCATATTTGAACTATTTTCTAACTTATTTTTCCAGCCTTCTTTTCTTATCTTGATTTTGTAGTACTACATTAATAATCTTCCAACTGAATTTTTTTTTCTCTAATTGTTTTGTTTGAGGCAATTTTACTGTTGAGCAATCAGGCCCAAACAGCCTCTTTTAATTACATAAAAAAAAAATAAATAAAAGCTGGGTACTATTCAGCAATCTGCTACATACCATCATGAAGTGGAAAAAAAAAAAACATTTAATAAAAAAAATTTTAATAATTTTTTTCTGAAACAATTAATGTTATTCAGAAAATCAGCTCAGTTTATTGAGAATACACTAGTGCTGTATGATACAATAAATGAAAATAAACGCTCTGCAAGGAAATCTAATTAAGCATTTCATAAAAGAGTATAAAAGGGACATTCCTACATTGTGATGTGGAGAAAGGAAGCTAGAGAATATTTAGTTTTGAATAACTTTTACTGACGTTGTTGCATTGTTAATATTTCTTGTTGGAGGATATCGGCTGTTAAAATCTTATATTTCATATTAAAAAAAGCATGTGGTTATTTTTTTTTTGTTGTTTTTTTGTGTGTTTGTCTATATTTACTTATTTATTTATTGAATAATGTATAGAAATAAGGACAAGTTTTCTGGTATGACTTTCCAAGACAGTCTCAAATAATATTGTCATGTTATATCGATAAACCTCAATGTATTTCATGGGGATTTTATAGTAAATAATTTTTTATAAAAAAAATGTATGAGAAATTCCTTTATTTTTTCCACAGTTGAGCAATTCTGCTGCAGGAGCGGCACAAACAAGTAGAGGCATAAACACGTATAAACAAGACTAGAAAAGAAAAAAAATGTAAAAGTTCAGCTTGAGATAAATAGATATATAAAAATAAAGTGGTACACTATATAAAGATTATATAGTGTACCACTATTAATTAAAAAGAAATAATTCAGGATATGTATTTTTAATTAAAGCTTGGGCTCTGCATTGTTGGTCATTCTGCTGAAAGGTAAACCTCCATCCCAGTCTCTAGTACTTTGCATACCCTAACCAGTTTTCTACCACAAAAAGCCGTATAGTTAACTGCATCCATCTTTTAACTAATCCTGACCAGCTTACTCTGATAGTGTCAAGTAAAGGAATTCCCAAAACATAATAACGCCATAATAACACTATTTATTATGGATGGCATCATTCCAGCTGTTTATCATTTTGCATGTAAGAGAGAAATAACAAATTTGTCTCCATCTGACCATCTGCTCTTCAATTCTTACTGTGTCTCCCTCTGCCTAACTGCTGTAGTTTTGATATATATAAAAGCTTTAAAAACCATGAATCACTTTCTTCTGTTACACATTCATACTTTAGGTTGGTCTATCTAAAAAAAGAAGCAAACTAAAAGTACTATTGTATGATTTACAGGTGTAAAAATGTTTTTAAAAAGTTTTAAAGTAAATACTTAAAGGCACTGTATTTGAATAAACAATTTCTTATTGTAAATTTCTTCAATGAGCACCATCTGCCCTGTTCTCCTGCTCTATCCACAGGGGTCAGTATGATAACACTTTACTTCCACTCTTAGCTTGATAGTAGAGGTGGTGGTGGGAGGTGGAGAGGGGGTACTCAAGGCTGGGTAGAGCATGGTACTGTGCTGTCCTTGCACTCTGTTGAAAGCCACGCACCACATAATAGGCAAAGATATGTTTTATGGCACAAAGGATATTTCACTAACAAGGACTTTAGGTCTGATGGTTCTTGGTCTTACTCAAGGGAAAATGACAGATGAGACTTTTTATCAACCCACACATTAAGGGTAATCATCTTTTTATCGTTCTTCTGCTGGCTGACAGACTAAAAACATTTAAGTACATAGGAATCAAAACTAACTTATTGAAATAACATAATACAAAAAACATATCATAATAGAGATGGAGTATTTGGAGTATCCAAAGTTATATTTGCTGTTCACCCTTTAGATTAGCTGTCCAGGAGCATGGAGCTAAGCTGGTCTATCTCCCCCGTCCTTTAGCCTCTGCAATGAACAGTTTTTTTGGGGGGGGCGGGTTCTGTCTTTGGTGGGACTTAGCCTTCAATTTTGATCAGCCATTAAATTGTTTCCTGCAATTATATCAGATTGAATCCCAGCTCAAAACGGCATCCTGTTAATTGAAAATCAACAGTCAGAGCAAAGTTCAGCGCACGTGTTTAACGGTAGAGTGGGGATTCATGTGTGTGAATGGTGGAGGCACGCCGATCACGTAGAATCCTGTGTATTTTTTATTCATGCACCCAAAAAGCTTGAGCCTGAAGCGAAACAAGCACCTCGTCTTCGATGGAGTCTGAGTACAAAACAAAGCACTGCTTTTGTATTACACAGTAAATCAAGTGGTATTATTTTACCACTAAAATATTCAGTCTCTGAGGCACTTTTACTTTGGTCTCCAGCCATCAGTCAAACTGCTGAGGCGTGAGCAAGGAAAGACGATAGACAGAGAGCAAAGAAGAGAGGGAGCAGTGGAGACTCCATCCTTCTGTAACATGTGTCTACAGCAATCTTGTTAAAGAATGCAACAGATCTGCAGCAGGCTCCATAACAGTATTTGTCAGCAGGAGTTAATAATTTATTAGCAGCGCTGGGAGGGCTGCGCTCAGGCAGCTAAAGAGTGGGGGAAAATCCTTGTGCCCCACCCCCATCTCCTGACAAGCCCCATACAATACTACCTCATATTATTGAAAGGGAAAAGGGAAAGAGTGGCAATAATTCTCTGAAAATATCTGAGGGCAAGCGTACAGTATTTTCCGCCTCTTCTCTAGAGTGGGGATCACACGGCTCTGAGATCTAAAGGGGGATGTGTGCAGTAGATCGGCGCTGACACAACAAAGACTTTGGATGAGGTGCGAAAAAGAGCAGAATTCATTTGAATGTGGTTACTACTACAAAGCATTGGGAAACAGATCATATATTTTGATGGAATAGCACTGTTTACACTGTTGGCCTCCATGCACACAAAATAGAAATCAGCAAACTAGCCATGTTTGAATAACAGCACTGTATCCTTCAAATAATCTCATGCACATTAATAATTCAGCCTGTTAAGCAAGGAATAGGCTTAAACTTTCACTCAGTAAAACTGAAAAATGTGTTGAGCTGATAAATTGGATCCAAACTAGACTAACCGTTAAGCATGATATTCCTTAAAGACAAAGCCTCTGTGACTTTGAAGACCTGAGGCAGAGATGAGACAGGGTCAGAAAAAGAAGCGCCTTGGTCTATATATAGCTGACAATATTGCGCACATTTGAAGGATTAGGACTTAAGTTCTCCAGCCACAGGCTCATGTGGCCTGGAATGCTTTGAGTCATGAATTGTTCCTCGAGATAATGTTTCATCATCGTGCAAAACAGCCGCTGCTTAATTGATAAGTATTAGAGGGGTGCTGTGCACCCCTCATCCCACAGGTCTTGTGACTGCAGGGCCATGTGTCCCTAGCTATCCCATTTCCTCTTTCATCATAAAAGGGTCTGGGCTGCTTTCGTCTGCCGTATCTGCTCTTTCACACTGTTTACCTTTTATAGACAATGGTGATAAGTAACCCCTCACTGGCCCTCCCCCACCACCACTACCCCCTTATCCCACTTGTCTGGTTCAGTGCTGCTGTGGATCTTCAGGTTTTGCTCAAAAGCCCTTGCATTTGGATGGTAATGGTATAGAAAAGAAGAAATGGTCACAAGGATTTATCTTAAGAAAACTGGACGGGAAAGATGGACAATGTTTTTTTATTTATTTAAATTCCTAATTCTCTCACAAAGAGCTCTTTCCATGTGTTCATAGATAAACAGAGATGATACACTTATATATTAGATTGTTTCAAGAAAAATATTTTCTTTTGTCTATAAAGTTTAAAGAAACAGAACATGCATTTGTGTAAAACAAAGCTGAAGATCCACTTCAAAACCCTGCCATTTAGTCATATATAAAGGAGATAAAATATGAGCAGCTTTAATATAATGAGTGAGTAGTGTTTGATAATACTTTGCCAAATATTAAAAAATATATTAAAATAGTCCAAACAGAGGATAAAAATATGTTTTTTATTTATTTACCTAGCGCTGTTTTTTCTGTTTTGAAAAATATAAAATGCGCATAACTTTTAAAAATAGCATGAGTAATTTTTTACAGAAAAAAACTTATCATTAATTAAAAATAATACTTTTTTAATGCAAAACACAATGGATTATATTCCGGCATTTGTGCTGGGACTGTGTGTGACTATGTGCCTCTGT